AACCTCAATCCAGTATGGCTGCTATAACCTCAACCCAGCATGGCCACCATAATCTCAATCTAGTATGGCCACCATAATCTCAATCCAGTATGGTTGCCATAAACTCAATCCAGTATGGCTGCTATAACTTCAACCCAGTATGGCCACCATATTTTCAATCCAGTACGGCCGCCATAACCTCAACCCAGTATGGCCACCATAATCTCAATCCAATATGGTTGCCATAAACTCAATCCAGTATGACCGCCATAACCTCAACCCAGTATGACCATCATAATCTCAATCCAGTATGGCCGCCATAACCTCAACCCAGTATGGCCGCCATAACCTCAATCCAGTATGGCCACCATTACTCAATCCAGTATGGTTGCCATAACCCAATCCAGTATGATCACCATAACTCAATCCAGTGTGGCCACCATGACATCAATCCGGGATCCCTTTCATGTACCATATTTCCCCTTTTTTTTCTTTCTAAGCCAAGAAGCCATTCCTCACCTCCGCTGCCTGCCGGGCAATGTATATTTCCAACAGCCCCCTGCTTTCTGCTAACCCATATTAACTAAATCAATGTCATTTAAAATATATTAAAGACTGCAAAATAGCTGTTTGGGCAAAGGAGAGATGAATAATTCATGAAGGTGAAAACATTTTGCACAAAACGCGGGCTTTTTTTTGCAGTCATCAGTCACGAAGAAATCCTCCATAGAACTCTTAAGGCAATCAGGGCCTTCTGACGGCAAAATAACTCCCAGCACCCACTTCTTAGCAACGTTCAGTACATCTATCAAGACTCCCCCCCCCCCCGCCCCAAAGAGAGAAGTCTACCAAAATATGCTTCCTTTTCCTCCCACAGATCCAATCTCACCTGGTTCTAAATATGTATAATGCTGTAATATTAAATTCCCGGAGATTGCCTTCTCGCTGCAGTTTAATTTCATCTAAAACGCTCGTAATGGGTGAGCATTTCCACCCAAAATAACACCGGAAAGAAGGTTCCACAAGCAGAAGCATTTACAGAGAGCAGATTTCAAACATAAAGCAAAAACCCACACATTTAGATAAACAAGACTCAAGATTTGGGAACTACTGCAAGCCTGATGTGCAAAGCTAGCCTCCAGATCATTGAAATACAACAAAAATTGGATGCAAAGGCAACAGGATGCATTGCACAGATATTTAGCCCTCTCCGAATGAAACTGATATATAATCCTTCTGTTCAGAGCCATTGGCCATTCTGGCCGCAAAATGACATTTTCCTATAGATTTCTAGCATTCCAGTAACCTGAAATGTCTGTCAATTATTTATAAATACCAAAGAAACACAGCCGGCAAAGCGACCCAAGGAATAGCAAACAGAAGAGAGAGAGGTTTTGTAAGCCACTCCGAGTCCCCTTGGGGAGATGGTGGCGGGGTATAAATCAAGTATCATTATTATTATTATTATTATTATTATTATTATTATTATTATTATTTCAATACAGACTCTGCAACATTAGAAATGAGGATATTGAGACAATTCAGTTCAGAGAAAAAAATACTTTTTTGGGTGGCCAATTTCCCCGTTTTGTAGGTTTGTTGCTGAACTGTGAAGCAATGCACAGAAAGAAGAGGAATGACTGTCTAAATTTTGGACTCTAAAGCCCAATGTTTTCATCCAAATCAGCCTTCCCAGGCTCTGTTTTGAAGTGTTTCTTCCTTCTTCCATGCGGCACTGAGCAATGATCTCAAATTAAGCCCCGTGGTTCCGACTCTGTCAAAGCAGATTAATTCCCCAGGAAGTCTTACTGTCAAACCTTTTTCCTGTTTGAAGAACCTCCATGTTTCAAAGAATGTGACAGTTATTTTGAATGCGGCAGCCTTACAAAATTGACCTCCAAACTTTTTGAGGGAAAGTGGGCGATTCGCAAGTGCATAATTTAGCCTGGGAATGATGAGCGCTACACGAAGGAGTCACACGAATCAGAGACTTACCGTTTGCTCAGAAAAGCTTGTTTTCCAAAACACGAGAAAGGAAAAAACATATATTGAGCAGCGGCCAGTTACAACCCCATTCGGACAACAGAAGTTCCCCCTCATTTGTTTAAAGCTGCTAAAAGGAGATCGGAGTACATAGATCAGATTGGGGTGCAGTGTAGGGGAGACGAGGATAGTTGATGTATATATCTACAGGTAAGCTACATTGGTTTCAAGCTAACAAACACCTGCATATTTTAACTGGGCTAGATGTATGTTGTGTTTGCACTGTCTGTTTTGATAAGGCCAACTGGCTAATCAATAAAAATTGTTGCTGTTGTTGTTGTATTTGTATATATTAAGCAGCTGCCGTGTTATGGAATACTTGTAACTACTGCTTTTTGAGATTTTAGGACAGTGGTTCCCAGTCTGCGGTCCAAAGGCCACCAGTGGTCCACAAGAACTACAATATGGTCCGCGGCCTCAGTGTTACTACACTGTTAGAACTAGAGTGGCTGGTCTCACAAAACCCTCTTAAAGTGCCGAGGCTGATTAAATATGGTTTTCTGTGGGCATGATGGTAACTACTATATCAGAAACTAGAGCTGATGTGGTCTATCCAAGGCAATTTTTGAACCAGCACCCCAAAGAACCAAATCGAATTTAAAGTTGACCAAAAACTGATTCGTAACCCTTTTGGGTTTTGGCATAGGAATCCCCGGTGGCGCAGTGGGTTAAAGCACTGAGCTGCTGAGCTTGTTGACCGAAAGGTCGCAGGTTCAAATCTGGGGAGCACTGTGAGCTTCCGCTGTCAGCCCCAGCTTCTGCCAACCTAGCAGTTCGAAAACATGGAAATGTGAGATGAATAGGTACCACTCCAGCGGGAAGGTAATGACGCTCCATGCAGTCATGCTAGCCACATGACCTTGGAGGTGGCCACATGACCTTGGAGGTGTCTACGGACAACGCCGGCTCTTCGGCTTAGAAATGGAGATGAGCACCACACCCTAGAGTCGGACATAACTGGACTTCATGTCAGGGGAAAACCTTTACCTTTACTTTTACCTAACCCTTTTGGTACTAATGTTGGTACCTGGTCGAAGTGGTCCCTGGTCAAGTGATCTATGGTTAAAAAAAAGGTTGGAAACCACTGTTTTGGGAGATGCAAGAAGCTATGACAACCCTTAAAATAAGATTTGCGATCTTCTTCCAACTACGTTGTAAACAAAATGAACCTCCTATACACAGGACTCTTTGGGTCTCTTTTTAGTGAGAAAAAGTGGGATATGAATAATTATAGCTACATCTATCTGTGCACCTATCTATCTATCTATCTATCTATCTATCTATCTATCTATCTATCTATCTAATAAAAGTTAATATGTATGTGCATATGTATATATGGATGTATTTTTTCCAGGAGGGATCCCACATCCAAAGAGCTATGTGACTCTCACAAACAATGGATCTGGACCAAACTTGGCACACAGGTCCATCATGACCAACTTTAAATACTGGTTAGATTTGGGCAAATTGCAGAGAATGATGGGAATTGTAGTCCACCCAATCCAGGGAGCTCTGTGACTCCCAGACGATAAACCTGGACCAAACTTGGCATACAGACCCATCATGACCAACTTTCAATACTGGTGAAGTTTGGAGAAATGACAGAGAATGAGGGGAGTTGTAGTTCACCCAAACCAGAGTGACTCCCACTGATAATGGACCTGGACCAAGCTTGGCACACTAGCCTATCAAGACCAACTTAAAAAACTGGCACGGTTTCATGGGAGATTGAGGGAGGATGATGGGAGCAGTACTCCAACCAAAGACCCATGTATATCCCACATCCAGAGAGCCATATGTATTTCTAATGGGACCCTTCATAAAATTCAAAACGTCAGGGGAGAATGCTTCTGCAACATGGCCATATAGCCTGAAAAACTTACAACAACCCAGTAAACAAGGACTGTTTCTACTAAACAGCACTACAAAATACCAAACCCAGGCATCAGTGGGTACCTAAGCTAGTCTGCAGTAAAAGTGAATATATAGATCAGTGGTTCTCAATCTGTGGGCCCCCAGATGTTTTGGCCTTCAACTCCCAGAAATCCTAACAGCTGGTAAACTGGCTGGGATTTCTGTGGAGTTGTAGGCCAAAACACCTGGGGACCCACAGGTTGAGAACCACTGATATAGATAGATAGATAGATAGATAGATAGATAGATAGATAGATAGATAGACAGACAGACAGACAGACAGACAGATGGATAGATTCACAAAGGCTTCTATGTGGCTTGATAAGGCTAGACCAAATTTGGCATACATACATTTCATGAGCCAATTTAAAATACTGGTGGGGTTAAATGGGGTGGGGTGGGGCTGTCAGAGGATGATGGGAGTTGTACTCCAGTCGTATCTGGAGAGCCATGTGAATCCCATCCATGATGGGTATAGACCAAACTTGGCATACACACACTACATGATCCAACTTAAAATACTGGTACGGTTTTTTTTTTTGGGGGGCGGGGGGGGTGATAGAGGATGATGGGAGTTGCAATCCAGCCACAATGAGTATTTCTAACCCAGGAATATATGTCAATATAATAATGATACTCAATCTCTGCTGAAGCTAAACCAGGCATTGGCAAACTTTGGCCTTCCAGGTGTTTTGGACTTCAACTCCCACAATTCCTAACAGCCTACCGGCTGTTAGGAATTGTGGGAGTTGAAGTCCAAAACACCTGGAAGGCCAAAGTTTGCCAACGCCTGGGCTAAGCCATCCCAAAGGTAGAATTACACAATTTTAGTCCTGGCACATACACTGTCTCCATCCCTCTGGTTTAGTTTTCAACACAACGTCTTTCACGGACACTAAACGCCAAGGATGCTATGAAGTCATTACAACAGAACAGAGCATTAATCGCTTGGAGGCCAAAGTGCATTTCATAGCATTACACATCCCATGGGGCTGGTTGCAACAGAAGAGGAGGAGGAGGAGGGGTTCAGAATGAAGAATCCGATTTGATTAAGCCAACCTTACCTTAAGTCAAGAGGAAGCCTCTAAACGCTAATGCATCTCCGAATCCGAGCTTTTTCCAGAAAGAAACGAGTCCGGGACCCCCAACCTGGAGGATTACAAAATGAAGGCGGTTAAGACCCCCCTTGAAATAAAGTGTTTGGCTGAAAGACGAGCGGCGAGGACCTCTCTGAGGAGGCGCTCCGGAGGATCAAAGCCTGCCTGTCACCTCCTCCTTGAGGTGGCTGCCTCGTTCAGTGGCCGCAAAGGGAGCCTAATCCACTTGGCTTGACACAATCCTACCTAATTGAAGGTTTAATCCCAACAGCTGCCCAGGGGTGCCTGGGAAGGAGGAGGAGGAGGAGGAAAAGTGCGGCTCATTAAGCATTTCAGAAGGAGAAGGAGAAAAAGGAGGAGGAGGACCGAAATCCCTCCTCGTTATTTAAAGGGATTCGGGTTTTAAATAAACCATGACAGAGCTCCTCCGCTCCAGAGTTTGCGTCAGAACGAGAAATAGAAAAAAAGAAAACCCACAGGGGGTTTAGAGGATTCTCCGGCAGCCAAATGCGATATGCGATAGCAAAACAGATGAATCTCTGCTCTTCGGCTTCGGAGCCGAGAGAGAGAAACAGCCCCAAACTTTCCAGTTCCATGTTGAGAAAAGGAAAAACACATCATATAATGCAGACGGAATTGTTCCATCCTAAAAGGAGAAGCTAAGACGTTCCATCATGTGCCTATTGCTCAAAGACCTAGCTCACAAGGCAGCAGACCCATCAGGACTGCATATATTTGAGCACCAAAAACACACTATACACACTACTGTCAAAAGGCATTTACCATATATACTCGAGTATAAGCCGACCCGAATATAAGCCGAGGCACCTAATTTTACTACAAAAAAACTGGGAAAATGTATTGACTCAAGTATAAGCCGAGGGTGGGAAATGCAGCAGGTACTAGTAAATTTCAAAATAATAATAATAATAATAATAATAATAATAATAATAATAATAATTTATTTGTACCCCGCTACCATCTTTTGGGGCCCCCGGTGGCGCAGTGGGTTAAAGCACTGAGCTGCTGAGCTTGTTGATCGAAAGGTCGCAGGTTCGATTCCAGGGAGCGGCGTGAGCTTCCGCTGTCAGCCCTATCTTCTGCCAACCTAGCAGTTCGAAAACATGCAAATGTGAGTAGATCAATAGGTACCGCTCTAGCGGGAAGGTAACGGCGCTCCATGCAGTCATGCCGGCCACATGACCTTGGAGGTGTCTACGGACAACGCTGGCTCTTCGGCTTAGAAATGGAGATGAGCACCACACCCCAGAGTCAGACATGACTGGACTTAATGTCAGGGGACTACCTTTACCTTTACCTACCATCTCCCCAAGGGACTCGGTGCGGCTTACATGAAGCCGAGCCCACAATACAACAATAAACAATAGCAACAGTAATACAAAACAATAAATAAATTCATTATTATTATTATTATTATTATTATCATTATTTGTACCCCGCTAGCATCTCCTGAAGGACTCGATGCGGCTTACACAGGCCAAGGCCTCAATAAAACAACAGCATAACAAAAACACATAACTTAAAGCAAATCAAACAATAAAACAATAGCAGTAAACAATAAAAACAATACACCATAACACAATAAAACTAGGGCCAGTCCGAATGTAATGGGTACAGATTAAAAAGTGCTGGGTGTGACAGGTGGATGTAGGATTTTAGGATAAGTGCAATGTGCAGACCATCTTAAAACTCTGATAAAGTGCTTCTGGGACATATTACTGGAGTTCCTATTCTGGAAAGGCACATCGGAACAGCCAGGTCTTCAAACTTTTCCTAAAGACTGCCAATGTAGGGGCTTGTCTGACAGATACCAATAAAATTATATTAATTTAGGCGTCAGTAAGTTAAATGTTTTTGAATATTTACATAAAACTGTAATTCAAGATAAAACTGTCCAACTCTGATTAAACCATTATTCTAACCGTCTTCAATGTACATATGCTTACATATCCTTCCAACAATAATAAATAGAGTAAAATAATAATAATGATGAGTAAAATAATAAATCTAACAATAACAATAATAAAGTAAAATAATAAATATAATAACAACAATAATAAAATAATAAATGTAATAATAATAACAACAACAAAGTAAAATAATAAATAACCTTGATTCGAGTATAAGCTGGGGGAGACTTTTTCAGCCTAAAAAAAGGACTGAAAAACTAGGCTTATACTCGAGTATATACAGTATTTTTGTTCTGTTTGGTACTTTTGCAGGCGATGCAACATCAGCATGGCTTTGCCCTGCTGCCCTACCTTGGTGATATCTAGCTTTTTATACAGGTGTTGTAGTCCAGCCTTTGACTGTACCTGTACCTGATCTCACTGAGGATTCTGGGCCTGTTAGGCAGCCTGAATATGACAGTGGGGATTCTGGGCCTGAAGACCAGCAAGAGAATCATGAGATTTTATGGCCTGAGAATGAGACTGTGGCGCAGCTGGCTCAGAGTCAGCTGCATTAAGATCACTACTGACCAATAGGTCATGAGTTCGAAGCTAGCCCGGGTCGGAGTGAGTGTCCAACCAAGCCAGCCCGAAAGACAGTTGCATCTGTCAAGTAGGAAATTTAGGTACCGCCTACATGGGGAGGCTAATTTAACTAATTTACAATGCCATAAAAATCTCGAGCAAGCCTGTAAAGTATGAGGAAGTACTTCATCAGTGTCACAAATGGATGGTGAAGCAACAGCTCCCCTGGTGGCCAGAATACCCTCATGGAAAGTTCAATTGCCTCTGTGTCTGTCTATATATGTTGTGAATGTTTGCCGTGTATATGTACATTGTAATACGCCCTGAGTCCCCTGCGGGGTGAGAAAGGCGGAATATAAATACTGTAAATAAATAAATAGATAAATAAACAAATGAGAGCTCTCTGTCCGAGGGAGACCACATTCCAGAAAGGCAGTTCCCTAGAGATGCAAGGTCAGAGGCAGAAATGAGCTCAGGGGAGGAAGATGCAAGGGAGGAAGATGCAACTCCAGGTGGACAGACTATTGAGCAGCAGTTAGATAGGAGATTGATGTTCTGCCAACATAGAGTTTCTCATGTTGTGCAACAACTGGATTCAGGATTCAACTCCTGCCTTTGTTTATATTTGATTTTACTGTTCTGTTGCATCCCAAATTTCTGCATTCATTCTTCTGTATTGAGGTTCATTTCTTTTGAATGCCCAACAGCAGAAAAAGTTAGAACAGCAGCTCCAGAAGGTTGGGCAGTGAAGATGTGAGAATTACTAGCAAGGGACTAGTTAACTAACTTAGTTGAAGGATAAGGCACGGGAAACCATTTTATCTGTCTATCTATATATGGGAAAGGCTTTGTGTACAGGTTTGGAGAGATAAAATGTTGGGATATTCATTTGGTATGGTTAAAAACAAGCAGGAGTAAACAACTGGTTGGATATAAAGTGGAAGAAATTCAAGTTAAATGTCGCACCCCAGGCTTGAAGCCACCTCTGACCATAACATCACACAAAAGTCTAGTGTAGAAGCAAATGGTTTATTTCAAAAACACACAAAAGATATATAGTTTAAAAAGCAGGAATAATGAAATAAGGTGTAGAATCCAACAAGTTAGCAATCAATTGTTTCTTACAAATCCAAAAGCAATACAGTCCAAAGATAGTCCCAAAATACAAAGGCAGCTTAAGTCCATTTGCAAAACGTAAACAAGAATACAAAACATGGAGAACTCCCAGAATATTTAAATCTAAAACCAAGACTTGAAAGAAGAAGTAGTGAACCAAGGCCTAGCTGTACTTGAAAGCCACGTTGCCTGAACTGAAAGCAGAGTGCCAGTTAGCTCCTAATAAACAGACATGAAAGCATTACATCTGCCCTGGAATTTCTGCTCCCCACAAAGCATTTTCTAATAGAACCAATTCATAACATCCAAAACCAAACAATGACTATTTCTACTGCTCATCCTTACAAAATCCCTAACCTGGACATCAACAAGCCAGACTCAACAAGACTGGATTCCATTAAAAATATCTGCCTTCAAGTCCTTCTGTTTGTTTTTCTTGCTCTCAATGGGTCTACTGTTCAACTCTACAAGAACTGGCAGAATTCGTTCTCCCTACTTTTTGCAGAAAGTGAAAAACTGCTGTTTCCAGTGGAATGGCTTTGCAATGATTATGCTTTATTTTGCTTAAATGCTCGCAACGACTAACTACACAAACTCTCCTAAATGGAAGGTCCATTGGCTGTTTCCCCCGCGTAATCCGCCCGCAAGAGGCTCGATTTAATAAACAAAGGCAGCTTTAATAATTCAGCTCTTCCTCTGAGAAAGATGTGACAGCACTGTCAGGAACGTTCCCCCCTCCAGCCTTGCCAAAGCTTTGCATACATTTTAAGCCAGAGACCTGCCTCCTGAATGCTGATAACTTCGGCGTTTTTCCTGCTTCTCTTGAAAGGATTAAATGCAGCCATATAGGCAGCTTTATTAGAGCATCATGCACTGTTAAGTTGTCAAGTTTTATTTCCACGGCTCTTAAAAAAGGAAGTTACAAGCGTCAAAACATAAATACGAGTCCCTCTTGCCCCCCAGCACTGCTTAGGATTCAAAGAAACGGTGCCAGAACCAAAATACAAACAAATATCCAAGTCCCAAGAAGTTGGAGAGAAAAGCAATAGACATCAGCTGCTATATATTTCCATGCCTATAATATCATCTATTATCTAACTATATATCGATATCTATACAGCTATATAGATAGCTGCCCCCTGCTGGTGCAGTGATTTAAACTGCTGACCTGCTGAATTTTCCTGATTGAAAGGTCAGTAGTTTGAATCAGAGGAGCAGGGTGAGCTCCTGCTGTTAGTCCCAGCTCCTGCCAACCTAGCAGTTCGAAAACAAGCAAATGTGAGTAGATCAATAGGTACCACTTCTGCAGGAAGGTAACAGCGTTCCATGCAGTCATGCTGGCCACATGATCTTGGAGGTATCTACTGACAATGCCGGCGCTTGCTTGGAAAGTAGCTGTTCCACTTTGTTTTTGTGACTACCACAAACTAGGTTGAATGGATAATGAGATATTCATTGGAAAACTAGAGCAAAATATGCGGCTGAATGTCCCTCTTGCAGAAAATGAAGCTGCGGCTGCCACTATCTATGTTGAATTGTATTGAAATGCTTTGAGTTTCCTTGTGAAGAGAAAAAGCTTGGTATAAATATAACAACAACAACAACCCAGTCCTCATGACACCCATGCAG